TCACTTGAGATTCCTTCTTTGGCCCATGTGTTAGAAGTGTGTTGTTTAATCTCCGAGTATTTGGGGACTTCCCAGCTATCTTTCTGTAATTGATTTCTCGTTTAATTCCGTTGTGGTCTGACAGCAGAACGTTGTGTGACTTCTATGCTTTTACATTTGTTAAGGTGTGTGTTATGGCCCAGAATGTGGTCTATCTTGGCGAATGTTCCATGCGGGCTTGGGAAAAATGTATACTCAGCTGTTGATGAAGTAGTCTATACAGGTTCTTTATACCCAGTTGACTGAAGGATTTGTGGTTTGGTGTCTGACATTAATTTGGGAGAAATCTTCTGTCATTACTGTCTCAAATATTTCTACTGTTCCTTTCCCTCTTTTTCTGGTATTTCCATCATGCCTATCTTACACCTTTTATCATTGTCCTACATCCCTTGATATTCCATTCTGTTTCTCAAGTATTTGTTCTCTTTGCTTTTCATTTTGGGAAGTTTCTATTGATATATCCTCAGGCTCACAGATTCTTTCCTCTACCATGTCCAGCCTGCAGATAAACCTGTAAGGCATTCTTCATTTCTGTTACAGCATTTTTATCCCTAGCAATTCTTTTTGGTTCTTTCTTAGGATTTCCAGCTCTGTGCTTACATTTCCCATCTGTTCTTGCATGCTGTCTACTTTATCCATTAGATCCCTTACATATTAATCATGGCTGTTTTAAATCCCCAGTCTGTTAATTCCAATATCCCTGCCAAGTCTGGTTCTGGTGCCTGCTCTTTTTGTCCAAAGTGTGTTTTTTGCTTTTTAGCATGCCTCATACTTTTCACTTCATGGACAAACACAATGTCCTGGGTAAAAAGGAACTGCCAGAAATAGGCTGATGAGGGGAAGTGATCTGTGGTGTGACCAGGTCTCTTAGTGTGCCTCTCCTCCTGGACTGTGAACTTCACGCTGCTTCTCAGCTACCTGACTCCGACTAGCCCCCTCACACACATACACCCCTAGGTGAGACAGGATGGCTAGAGGGGACTTGAGTGGGGTATTTCCCTTCTTTCACGTCAGTTAGGCTCTGGTTAAGTAGTTTCTCCTGAGGGCAGGCCTTGTTAAGCACAGAATGCTCCGAGGTGCCTGGGTGGCTCAGTTGGTTGAGCGTCCGACTTCGGCTCAGGTCATGATCTCGTGGTTTGTGGGTCTGAGCCCTGTGTCTGGCTCTGTGCTGACAGCCTGGATCCTGCTTCGGATTCTGTGTCTCCCTCTCTCTCTGCCCCTCCCCAGCTCACACTCTGTCTCTCTCTCTCAAAAATAAATAAACATTAAAAAAAAAAAAAAAAAAAAAAGAATGGAGTGCTCTGGTATATTTACAAATGGTCCTCCCCTACCTCTCTCCCTTCCCACCTGCTAAAAGCAGGAGAGAATTTTTCTCTGAAATTCACTGTGAGAAGCAGGTTGAGCTCCTGGAGATAAAATTCACAAAAGTAGAGGGGGTAGGGAGGCTTGATGACTGGGTCCCTCTGGAGTTTTTAACTCTCAGAGCTGTCCACACTGAGCCTCCAGCAATCTACCAGTTATAATGCAGGTTTCCCTCCCCTGGGCCGGTTCCCTTATTGGTTTCCAGGAAGTTGTGGCTCTTTGTTGCTCTCTCCAATTTGGGGAGCAGCGGTTTGCCCTGTGACCTCACCGCTCTTACGCATCCAAGAAGAGCTGTTGCCTTTTCTATGTGTGTTCACTTCTGGCATCTCCTCCTCATTTACTTCAGGTCCAAACTTCAGGGGGCTACCCCAGCAGGGAACTAGCAACAAGTCGGACCTCCTTACCAGGACATGAAATCTTCTTTTCAGCCATAGCCCTGGTCCAATACCCTCAAGACCCACTCCTATTCCCACCTCCCTGGTACATGCCAAGCCAGGTCTTGCAATTATTTTGGTGGTCACGTGTTTCTTTCAGGAAATGGCTGCTCTCCTTCAACAAGGGGGCGGGGGCTTCTTCTGTCTGCCCAAAGCATTCAGGGAAATACTGGGGATGAAAATCCTGTCTTTATCCCAGGTCTCAGTCCCTTTCTCTCCTGACAAAAGCCCTGACTTTGGCCAAGGAGGCAGCCTGTCTCCTTCGCAGCTCTGCCAGTCATGCACAAGAACATCCTGGGTCTGAATGTCAACACCTTCTATGTAGAAGCTGCAGATCGGTCTCCTTAAACTGTACTATGAAGGTCCCCTGGTTTTTATGCCACACCACAAGTTGAGAGTTGGCCGACGAGCCTTTCATTCCTTTCTAAAAGGCTTTTCAGAGTTAATAGAAGCCAGTCAACTAAACAATCCTCATAATTACCACTGACTCCATGCTTCCATGTGGTAGAGCTTTCACATGACCCCACATGACCTTTCCTGGACCTCATCCCAACCCACCACAGGCAAGTTTTGGTAGTGATGACACTGATCACCGACCCACAGGGCCTTTGCTGCTCTCTGCCAATGACTGGTTTCGTTTCCAAGACCCATTTGGAGGGTCTGCTTTTTTAAGGCCACGTCTAGTACCAAATGCTTAGTCTGGGTCACTCCCCAAGTCAGAGCCTGAGACAAGGACTCGTGTTTGGTAGTTTATTTGGGAAGTGATCCAACAGGGAGGGACTGGGGAGAATAAACAAGGAAGGAAAGGACTGACCACAGTCATGAGGTCATGAGGTCATGAGGCACGGTCCCACTGGCGTGTTTTGTCAAGAGTACCGAGTTAACTCTCAGAAGCGTCCACCCGAGGATCAGATGGAACAGCATGTCTCCATGGTTCCTGTCCCCGCGTGGTTGTGGGTTGCCTCAGGAAGGGTTAAGTCCCCAGCACTTTTGGAGTGCACATACTTCAAGGCCGAGCGGGCTAATATTCTAAACGGATGTATTTTGTAGGCTTAAATTTACATGATTTGGGAGACCAAGAAATCACAGAAACAAGACGACCAACTTAGGGGCTCAGGTCATGATCTCACGGCTTGTGAGTTCGAGCTCTGTGCTGATAGCCTAGAGCCTGGAGCCTGCTTCAGATTCTGTGTCTCCTTCTCTCTCGCCGCCCCCCTCTTCCACCACTTGCACTCTGTCTCTGTCAAAAATGTATGAACGTTAAAAATTTTTTTTTAAAGATCAACTTGAATATTCTAGAACACTGCATTCCCTGATGATTATTTAATGGCTGCTAAGGACAGCTCTCTTTCTGCTAGAGGAAACACTGAGTCTCTCCAGGACAGTATTTTTCCAAGTCTTTGCCAGTCTCTGCCATCAGTTTTCTCCTCCTTTATTCTGAAAGCTGCAATAATCACATATTTCCAATATATGAACCTCCTGGACAGACCTTGCTCATTGGGTGTTCCATTTCATGTGTGATGTATACTTTTTAAAAAATTTGTTTTAAACTTATTTATTTTGAGAGAGACAGAGAGTATGTGAGTTGGGGGGAGGGCAGAGAGAGAGAGAGACAGAATCCCAAGCAGGCTCTGTGCAGGCAGCATGCAGAGCCCGACACAGGGCTCGAACCCACGAACTATGAGATCACGACCTGAGCTGAAATCATGAGTTGGACGCTTAACTGACTGAGCCACCCAGGTGCCCCTGTGATATGCACTTCTTACCAGGAGGGGTGGCCTTCAGGAAAGGTGGTGGCAGAGACAGATGCTAACATATTTCTCACCTCCATTTTCACTGCTCAGGCAGTCAGCCCAGTTGGGCAGCGGTCATACCCCCAGCCTGGCAAAGCCTCGTCCATCTGAGGTCTTTAATCAGCAAGACTGAAGCTTCTAAACTTGATCCAAAGTCTGGCTGCCTCTTGACCACTGTCAATGTTCCATCACGGGCAGTCAGCCAGGAGCAGGGGCGGGAGGAGCAGGCTGATGTGTTGGGAGCACTGTCACGGTGCCTGGAGGAACAATCGCTGAAAAAGCATTTACGAAAAATGAAAACCCAGGTTGTGTTCTCGAGAGGGCGGCAGCCCCAAGTCTAGGCACTATTTCTCTCTGCTGGACGGACCTGGCCATGCCGGAAGGTGCCATGCCAGGGCCTCTGGGACAAGTCTGCAATGGCTTCAGCTCACATTATGTTCCTTCCATGAGGCATTAAGTTCCTAACTCCTCACCCTATTTGTCTAGCCGAAATGCAGAGGGCAAATGCCATGGCTGAAATACTCGCCCTTGGTGAATCAGCTCCTTCCCCAGAGCTCTGTAAGACTGACTGGGGAGTTTCAGTTTGGAAAAAAACAGAGATTGCTCAACCTGTGAGCAGACTTAATTCTAACACACTGCGCTGTGAGTCAAATACAGGCTATGAGGAGCCTTCTGGGGCCATCAAGAATGGCCTTCCCTCTGTCCCCAGAGTGTGAAGACAGGCTGAGTAATCACATGACAACATCTCTGAAGCAGCCTTCTTCATGCTGATAAAGCAAGGAAATCTTATGAAACACCAGGGAGTGGTTACAAAATGCAGAGCGATTTCAAAACGAGTGATAAGAAAGCTGTGGCTAAGGGGCAAAGTGGCCACTAAGCACCCCGACCCTAGGGAGCTCGGCGTGAAATTCTTGGGAGGGCAGGAAGCAAGAACTGGGCTTCCCCGGGACTGAGGAAGGTTCACCAGCCCGGCAGAAGCCACGGGTATGTATCTGGGGCATATGCCTCCCTTCTCTCCCTCAGAAGCACCACATCCACAAGAATGAACCGTGTGTGTGTTTTTCTTGTTTTGAAAGCCCTACAGGGGAAATATTTTTCACAAAACACATTATCATAAGCATTTCCTTTAAACCACTTTTCTGGCAGGCCCTTATTCTCGTGTTTGTGTTGTTGTTCTTTCGAACTCCTGCAGCAGGAGATAAGGAGTCTCCCTGGAGAGGCACGACCAGAGAAATCCCCCTCGGACCGCAACCCTGGGCTCAGCTGCCACTGGCTAGACGAGGGCCAGACGTTCCGGGCGGTCACCGAACGGCACCTTGGCTTACAGCTGAAGAACTCTAGCCATACCAAACCGGACTAGAAAACAGACTTTAATTTTACACGTACGAATGTCAGCTCAGGTTTACAGCAGGTAAGAAAAATATATACAAACTGCGGCTTAAAAAAGGAAAAGGAAGAAACACGCAGCCCGTGTTTGCGCTGACGTGAGTCATCCCAGGAATCCGACTTTCTGTCTCTTGGGCCCCAGGCTTTCCTCCTTGTGTAGAATGCTCTGCAGGGAGGCGTGCAGCACCTTGCCCACTCGCTTGCCAGTCTGCAGGGCAGAAGAGAGCACACACCCACTTGTGAGGCACACACACCCAGACCAGGAGAGTTTCCCTCGCTGCCTGCCAGCCGTCCAAACTATACCGGCTCCATCTGCCTTAAGGGACTTTTATTTAATTAAACAAGTCAATACAAAAACAACCCCCAAACAACAACAACAACAACAGAACAGTTACCTTCTGGAAAAATCTCATACTAAAAACAAAAACAAAGGAGAACACCTACCCCCAGGCCCAGGCGGCCAGCAGGAAGCAGCCAAGGCTGCCTCAGCCATTAGCTCCCGCTTAGCACTCCCGCTGCCATTACAACAAGCAGCAAAACCGTCAAGCAGACCTGGTTTTGGTTACTGCCGAGTCCTGCTGCCCGGTGGGGAGAAGGCAGAGGGAGGCCACAGGGAACCGAGAGTGTGTCTAATGAAGGAACAGATGGCTCTGGGGACACGTTTGAACAAGCAGTTTCTCATTCACCTGCCACCAAATCTCTAAGCAGGACTGTTCAGAGGGGACCCAGCTGATACCTGGGTAGGGTCTCCGGTATCGCTGCCATGCAGAGACGCTAAAAGCATGGGATGTCAGGAGCAAGACGCATCAAGAGGTCAGACAACCCGCAGACTTCCTAATTAGCCCCCACACAGGAGACGCGAGGGGGCCCCTCAAAAAGAACATACAAAAATCTTTCTCTATGAAACTGTTTTCTGTGTCTGAGCTCATGAATAAAGTTTTTTAATGTTTATTTTTGAGGGGGAGACAGAGAGAGAGAGAGAGAGAGAGTGAGCAGAGGAGGCGCAGAGAGAGGGGGACAGAGGATCTAAAGTAGGCTCTGCACTGACAGCACAGAGCCCGACGCGGGGCTTGATCTCATGAACCAGGAGATCATGACCTGAGCTGAAGTCAGACGCTTAACCGACTGAGCCACCCAGGCGCCCTGCTCATGTGTATTTCAAGACTATGATGAACCAACCACAGGTCTCCACATCATCAAGTCTTCCACATTCCCATAGAAGGTTTCTTTCAGTTGTGCTGCCGGTTCCACTCTCGGCAACGTCAGGGAGAAAGATACCCAGGCCTGGACCCTTGCCTCAACCCTCCCAGTTACAAGGAACTTCTCCCCTGGCCCCTAACTGGAACACAGGATGAGACTCCAAGTATTGCCGGAAATTCATATGAAAAGATCTCATTCCAGAAATGGGAAGTGTTCACTTGCATGAGATGCAAAGTCAGGGCTAAGGACCAAAGTGACCAGAAAGGTTTTTTACCATAACATGAGAGAAGGAGAACATGTCAGAGTCGATCAGAGAGGGGTACTGATTACTCATATGAATGAAGGTGAGGGATGGGGTAAGAGGGGACGGGACAGACAGGACACTAGGACTTGGGAGGTCTGAATGTGAATGGCAGAGGCCAACCCCCCACCGATGTTTTAAGCTTCACAACAGGCATTTCTGGATTGCTGCTTCCCTGGGTGAGGCCAGAGCAGTCAGACAGGACCACGGGGCTATGGTTCCCCCTGAGCTGGGTCTGCAGACCTCATCTGCCGAGCCCCGGAGGAGGATGTAGCTCGGCTCACCAGACAGAGCTCTGGCTCTCCTACCAGCCACGGCAGCCACAGCCTACCTGGTTCGTAGGGTTAAAAATAGCTCAGTGTGGCTGCAGGGGTGCCAGGGCAGCCCTAGAAGCACACAGTCTGGGTGTGAATCCTACTGCCGGCATGATGAGCTGGGAAACCCACAGGCAACTTACCTATCTGCTACATGTCTCAATGTCCACGTCTGCAAAACCAAGGATAACAACAATGGTTGCCCCACAGGAAGGCTAAGGACTAAATGACAATAGGTTGGGTGCCTAGGTGGCTCAGTCGGGAGGAGGCATCTTGACTTTGGCTCAGGTCATGAGCTCGTGGTTTGTGAGCTGGAGCCCCACGTCGGGCTCGCTGCTCTCAGCCTGTCAGCACAGAGCCTGCTTCGGGTCCTCTGTCCCCCTCTCTGCTCCTCCCCCACCTGCGCTTTCCCAAAAGTAAATTAAAAATAAGTAAATAGATAAATGACATAATATGTTTAAAGCACTAAACACAGAGCACCTGACACATAGTGAGTGCCCGATAAATTGTCATGATTCCTTACTGCTTTTCTTGTTTTACGTACTGGGATTCCCGTAAAATTCTCCTGGAAGAGGTGGGGGAGAAGAGCTCCTTCCAAGACAAGGTTTCAGAACCACTTGTCTAGAGAGGCAGAACTTATAAAGTATTTGAAGGGTTTTTGTTTAAAAAAAAAAAAAAAACTAACCGGGGCGCCTGGGTGGCGCAGTCGGTTAAGCGTCCGACTTCAGCCAGGTCACGATCTCGTGGTCCGGGAGTTCGAGCCCCGCGTCAGGCTCTGGGCTGATGGCTCAGAGCCTGGAGCCTGTTTCCGATTCTGTGTCTCCCTCTCTCTCTGCCCCTCCCTCGTTCATGCTCTGTCTCTCTCTGTCCCAAAAATAAATAAACGTTGAAAAAAAAAATTTTTTTTTTAAATAAAAAAAAAAAACTAACCAATTGACCAACCGGCCACGAAGAATCCCCCTGCCGTGCACGGCGAGAGACACCTGAGCTCCGGGCAGACCCACGCCACGACACTGCCGCACCCCCACGCCCTTGGGGAACGTCATGGGGCCTCACAACACGCCCAGCGGCAGGCACCCTGACCACGTTACGCTCTCCCTGAGATGAGCTGCCTCCCAGCCCGGGGAGTCTGTCTTCACGCCTGAGTTCTCGACACCGTGCACACCGCTCATTTTTGCTTTCAAATAAGACAACAGAAAGAGAAAATGGACTTTAAGTGCTTAGAGCCTTCAGTGCTAAGTCAGTGTTTCCAGGCGTGAAGGAAGAGTGGGCGTGGCAACCTTGCCTGCTAGTCAGCCATGACCTCTGGACGTTGAGTTGTGACGCAGTACCCAGAGCAAAAAACCTGGGTCTGGCCAACTCTGTTCCCGGCAAGTCAGTCAGTCAGTCGGTCAGTGTCAGAGTCCTCAAAGATTTCTGGAAAGTCAAGGCGGACGTGGGGGAAGGGGAGTCTGGGAAGACACAGGTGGTCCCTGCCACGGGGGCCTTTCAGGCCTGTAAGGGAGACACACGCATCACCCCAATGGTTGGTGCTGCCTGACAGCCTGAGACCCGTGGGGAGTGACCCACCCCGAGGCAGTTGGAAGGATTTCCTGTCTGTCTCCTTTTGAACACTTCTAGAGCCATGAAGACATGGGGAGACGGCATCCTTCAGCCCCCCGGCTCTACCTTTTCTCATTCCCTTCAAAGGACAGGAAGCAGTCAGGCGGGACCCCAGTTCCCTCATCAGATCGCAGAAGCCTGGGGTTTTAGTTACAAGCGATTCCACGTTATCAGTCCAACACACGCATCCGTTTCATCTAGAACCATGGAAATGTGAGATCAGAGAGGGAGAGGACAAGGAACGATCACTGACAGGTTCCTTACCTCCCAGTCCGGAGCCCCCACGGCCACCACCCTTTGCCATGTCAGTAGAAACCAGCTCACACCAGCTGCTCTCCCAGCTCTAAGTCTGGGGTCAAGGGCGCAAAGGCAGAATTCCCCTGGTGTGACCAAGGGGGTAAGAAGCGGCAGCAAACACTCCCAGACAGTGCCTGCACCTGCTTCAGGGCCAAGCCTCACCTCCATCATCTCGAAGATGCTCTCTGGGTCCAGGCTGCCCTTCCCCACTTTCCTCATGCATGTCACGACTCCCTTGCTGGTCACGGACACCAGCAAGCTGGCCAAGGAGCAGGCCTCCTCCTGGAGAGTAGCATCCACTACGTGCCGGTAGCCAATCTGCAAGGTCAGAGTGCACACGCGGGTAACACACATCCCAGATGCCCACCCTGGACAGCCTCGTGGAGGGAATATCTCCACCAGCAAAGAACCTGCACTGCCCGTTCCAGATCTTATTTTAGATTCTGCTCATATGGAAAATGCCTGAAACAATGTTCAGCAATTCTACTACGGGCCACTCTGCCAGCAGAACAACAAAAGCGTAAAAAGGAAACGTGGGGTGGGAGTGGGGTTAGAGCCATAATTCAGAGACCATCCAAGTGAGGCCACCAAATGTCTCCAACAGAGGGGCCCAGGGAGAAACTGACATGTGAGGCCACACAGATGTTTCACTGAAGACAAAGATGAATCAAGGGGGTGCCAGCTAAGTCACATGCTCAAAAATGAGTCAAGTGCAGATGGCTTTGGCCAGTCCCCACATTTCACCAAAGCCCCAGGCTCGTGAAGTGACTTCAGTGGAATTAAACCTGACCCATACAGTCCCGTTTTTACATGAATCCTGTGCGGAATCAGGGACAATCTCAGCCAACGCAGGCCTGTCTGCACGGCCTTGGGCAGCGCCAGGTACACAGCAGCATCAGCCAGAGCTTGGGCTCCACGGGCCCCGGTGCTAACGTAAAAGCCACACTTGACACAACAGATGCCCAGATCCTGCTCCAACCCCTCATTTCACAGATATGGACACTACAGCCCACAGAGGGGGCAGTGTTCGCCCTTCAACCTCCCTGCTATTATTCTTCCAGCCTAGACCCCACAGAATTGAGGGAATTAAGGGAAAAGTGCACACAGGGTGTTTCAGTGAGATGCCTGGTATGGAGGAGCTTAACAAACTCTGGCTACTATTACTATGAACCCCCTCGTGTCCCCCTGCGACTCAGTCATGCCTTCCAATTAAAACAAATAAAATAAAAGGAAAAGCTGCTCATATAGTGGCTTCTAAAATAACCAAATTACTGGATTTGGATTAAAGCTATTTCTATATGATTTGTGAAGCTGTAACTTCTCAATCTACTAAGTAACCTTAATGGGTTGAAGGAGACTCACAAGGAAGTCAAAAGCCGTCAGATACAACCACATACCTTGCACAGGGTGACAATGCAGGGGACATTCTCCACACTTAGCCGGATGCAGTCATAAGGGTCATCCGAGAGTTCAATATCCTTGGACCCCTCTTCATCCTCTAGAACCCGAACTCTTGGTATCCTAGAAACAGAAGCCCAATCAAAATCCCCACTTACCGTGAGGAAGAAAGAGAACTTTTTTTTCTTGAGACTGACAACAGGGGTCAGAATTCCTGCGCCTCACAAGATGAAGTCACACTCTGCTTGTACTTTATCATCCTCGTCCCTACCATCCCTGCCAAGAGTGCACAGGCAACACTGGAGAGCAGTGGAGGAAGGAGGTCTTTTTAAAAATAACACTTGGTCGGGGCACCTGGGTGGCTCAGTCGGTTGAGCGTCTGACTTCGGCTCAGGTCACGATCTCACGGTTCATGAGTTCGAGCCCCGCGTCGGGCTCTGGGCTGATGGCTCAGAGCCTGGAGCCTGCTTCTGACTCTGTGTCTCCCTCTCTCTCTGCCCCTCCCCCATTCATGCTCTGTGTCTCTCTGTCTCAAAAATAAATAAACATTAAAAAAAAAAAATTAAAAATAACACTTGGTCAATCAGATATGCAAATG